GAGAGAGAGAGAGAGAGAGAGAGAGAGAGAGAGAGACCGCGACAACAGCAACTGCGCCGCCCGTCCTCCGGGAAAAAAGGTACAAACGCGCCAACCCAGCGAGCCCCCCCAAAAAAGGCCACTCGAAACAGGCCCGAATTCATGAGCCCTTGAAGCCGCGCCCTGCAAAATGCGACGTGAGAAAATGTGCACTATACGACAAAAAATAAATAAATGAAATGTTGCAAAGGGCCTGTCCCATCCAACCGACATCCGGGCCTCATTTTTCCTGGGGCCAGGGGAACCGACGTCCGGGGCCCTATCCATCCTTTAGTAGTTAGATAGAAAACACAACATATTGAAAAAGGATTTCTGTATCCTATTTTGTTTCATTGTAGTGGTTTGACTAGCATGTCACTGCAGTCCAACCAGACAACATTGTGGAAGACCCGACAGCCACCCAAGCATCACGTGAGGGAGATCAGGTGGCCGCTGTCCAGCCGCAAAGCAACAACAACTCCCGAGGAAAAGGGAAGGCGAAAACCGCATCACCGGCCGGACAGCCAGCACCATGGGTCAAGTTTCACCTGACCGAGGCCGAATACAAGTTGCGCGGCCTGTATGGCTGCACATATGGGGAGGATGCGAATGTCGCAAGTCCTCGGTTCACTTACGAGGATTATGTTGTCCACTTGGTCCCACTGTTGGACCAACCACTCCACGTGCAACAATCCACCGCATGCACGGTTTCACCACCATTGACAACCGATTCGGAAGCTTCGCCGCCATCTATCGCCGGGGATTCGACGTCATGGTCAAGACTTGAAGAGCTCGACCCATTGACGTTTGCGGACTTCCAATGGATGCCCCTTCCCCCGTCCGGTCGATTGCCGAAACCGCATTGCAACGTGCTCATGGCACAATTGCGGGATTACTTGCACACTGCAGTACCAACTCTGTTGATGGACGTTTGAGTAAAGGTTGTCGAACTTCACGACTACGTTGCGAAGATCGACCGCGAGTTCAAGACACAACGGTACGACGACATCGACGCGCCATTGTTGTACATACGCATTCAAATCGGAGAGGAGACCTGCAACGCTTTGATCGATTGCGGAGCTACTCGCAACTACATGAGCCAAGACTTTATGGTACGCGCTGGCCTTGGGCCATGCGTTCGAAGGAAGTCGCAGCCCACGTAAGTCACGTTGGCCGACGGTCACACGCACAAGTCAATCGACTGATGCATTGATGCCGCCCCAGTGTACTTTGCCCCGCATGCAAGCGAGGCCGTGTCCTTCGATATTTTGGACACCAAGTTCGGCATGATCTTGGGCATGTCATGGCTGCGAAGCGAGGATCACGTGGTGAACTTCTACCGCCGCACCGTTCACGTTCGTGATCGGAACGGAGTACTAATCCCATGCACTGTGCCTCCTCCTCACCCTTCGATCAGCTGCCACGTGGTGTCCGCCACAAGCATTCGAGCTTCCATCATCAGGGATGACATCGAGGAGATGGGTGTGTGTTTTCTCCACGCCCTCCCACCCCATGCCATTCCATCGACGGACTCATCACCGGACCCACACATCACCGAGCTTCTCGACGCCTACGGCGACGTGTTCGAAGCCCCCCACGGAGTAGTACCGGATCGGCCCATCCGCCAAGAGATCATCCTCGAGGTCGGGGCCGTACCTCCGCGTGGTTGCATCGACCGCATGAGCGAGGAAGAGTTAAGTGTGCTACGGGCACAACTCCACGACCTTCTGGAGAAAGGCTGGATTCGGCCTAGCTCATCGCCATACGGTGCTCCCGTTCTCTTTGTCCGGAAGAAGAACAAGGATTTGCGGTTGTGCATCGATTATCGCAAGCTCAACGCGCAAACGGTCAAGAACGCCGACCTTCTTCCACGCATCGACAACCTCCTCGAACGGCAGGGCGGCGCCGAGTTTTTCTCCAAGCTTGACCTCAGATCGGGATATCACCAATTTGAGATCCGGTAGGAGGACCGCTACAAGACCGCGTTTAAAACGCGATATGGACATTTCGAATGGCTGGTTATGCCTTTTGGCCTTGCGAATGCCCCGGCCACATTCCAAGCGGTTATGACAACGGAGTTCCGACACGTGCTGGATAGATTCGTACTCATCTACCTCGACGACATCTTGGTGTACAGCCGGAGTTTGGACGAGCATGTGGAGCACCTGCGCACCGTTTTGGAGCGGCTAGGACAAGCCAAGTACAAAGCCAACCGCGACAAATGCGAATTCACGCGGCAAGAGTTGGAGTACTTGGGACATTATGTGACGCCGCAAGGCATCCGTCCGCTAGCGGACAAGATCGAGGCCATCCGCGTATGGCCCGAGCCCACCAACACCACGGACGTTTGCTCATTCATGGGGTTGGCGGGCTACTATCAACGCTTCCTCACCGGGTACTCAAGGATTGCCGCACCTATGACGAGATTACAATCGCCAAAGGTGCCATTCGTATTCGATGACGACGCATGCCGATGATTCCAAGCACTCGAGACGGCCATGCTCATGGCACCCGTCCTTAGCATCTACGACCCCACCCTGCCACCGAGAGTGACAACTGACGCTTTCCATCTATGGCATTGGGGCAGTCTTGGAACAACATAAAGGTGACGACACACACCCCGTGGAGTATTTCAGCCACAAAGTGCCTCCCATCAATTCACTTGATGATGCAAGGAAGAAGGATCTGCTCGGGTTCGTGATGGCTCTCAAGCGATGGCGGCACTTCCTCCTTGGGCGTCGTAGGTTCACATGGGTCACGGACAACAACCCATTGACCTACTACAAGACGCAGGATACGGTGAGCAGCATGATCAGACGATGGATGTACTTCATCAACCAATTTAACTTCACACCGAAACATCTCGCTGGCCTCTCCAATCGCGCAACAGATGCACTCTCGCGAGGACCCGATCTTTGCGCTATGACACATCATGCCTTCGCACTCGACGAGGAACTCCAGCGACACTTCATCCGGGGTTAGTATGTGCAGCTATCTTCGGATCACCCGCCGGCCAGCCACTATCGCATCGTCGACGGGTACTTGCTCCTCCACTCGCGAGGCAAGGACTTATTGTGTGTCCCACGCGACCGTCGTCTTCGGACTCGCCTTCTCGGTGAGTTCCATGACTCGCGACTTGCCTGCCATTTCGGAGTCAATCGCACTATTGCACGACGTCGGCAACGATTCGGATGGCCCGACCTCATTACCGATGTCACTCGGTATTGCGACTCTTGCGAAATTTGCTGACGAAGCAAGCCCCGCAACCGCAATCCCTACGGCGAGTTGCACCCTATGCCTATCCCGCGGGAACCCGGCCTCTCCATTGCCATGGACGTCATCAGTCCGTTTCCCCGCGGTCGACTCGGGCACGACGACATCCTCACGGTCGTTGACCGTTTGAGTAAGTATGCGCGATTTCTTCCTTGCAAGTACTACGCCACGGCTCCCGAACTTGCGCGCCTCTTACACACCGGCTGGATTTGCGGCCATGGCGTACCGGAAGACATCGTCAGCGACCGCGACACTCGCTTCATGTCGGCATTTTGGACTTCTCTCATGCAGGAATCCGACTCGAAGATGAAACCAAGTTCGGCTCGGCATCAACAAACGGGCGGGCTAATGGAGCGGGCACATCAAGCCGCTCAAATGATGCTTTGTACGCTCATCCGTCCGGATCAGAAGGATTGGGTTGATCGCCTCCCCGACATCGAGTTCGCCTACAACACTTCGTTGCATCTGGCAATCGGCGTGACTCCATTCGAGTTGCACCACGGTGGTCGGAAAGGCCGTATCTTCGCTGATCTTCTCCTCCCACGAACAACCGACATAGACGCTGCTTGCTCCCCCGCTTCCGTCCGGAAGTACAGGGAACTGCTAGCTCAAGCCCGCGCGAACATGCGAAAGGCTCAAGTCCGCATGCAGCAGCAAGCCAACAGGCGTCCCGTGACATGTCCTATCCACGCCGGTGATCTGGTGTGGGTCTCCGCGGAAGAGTTTGCACTCGAGCAGGATGTTTCACGCAAACTGCTTCCCAAGTGGTTTGGACCATGCCCCGTAACATCAGCCGCGGACGATGAGCCTTATGGCCCCTCATTTGTGATCAACATCCCCCCGCATCTGACGGTCCATCCAGTCTTTCACGCCTCAAAGCTGGCGACATATACACCACCCAAGACCGACGACTTCCCGAGCCGAAGATCGCAAGATCCTCCATCTATGGACGGTCATCAGGAAGTTGACCGCGTCATCACGGATCGCAAGTACGGCAGCAAGCCTCAACAGTACAAGGTTACATTCAAAGCATGCGATCCCGACGACACTCGATGGATTTCAGGAGCAGATTTGAGAACATCCGCACCGCTGATCTACGCTCACTACGAGTGACAAAGGTTAGCTAAGGGAACGTCACGACCTGCCCCTCCCTCCCTCCGACAGACAGCTTCGCCCTCGCTTGTAAGCTCGGTCTTTCAAGGAGGGGGGGGTGTGGCATACTGCGCAGCCACACGGGCCTGCAGGGCCTGACCAGCGTTCGCAACCTAAAAGCCTGAAAACAAGGGCTTACAGGCCCTGTGTCGTTTCAGCCTGAAAGCCTGAAAACGAGGGCCTGCAGACCCTATGTCGTTTCAGCCTAAAACTGGGCCTTCCAGGCCCCAAGTCTTTTCAGCCTGAAATGGAGGGCCACTTTCGGGCCCTCATAAGATCAACCTGCCCTGACATTCGGGCACCAAACCTGTTACGGACTCCGCCAGGGCTCGATCCCTGGTCTATCTTTTTGTTGTTTCGGCTGCATCCTGTTTTCGGCCTGGCACCCTCTTTCCAAACCCCTCCTTTGGTACCGCAGGATTTTGGACAACTGGCGCCATGCTGCGATTCGGGCGCCACTTTCAAATACCACATTTTTCAGTTCTGCCCTTTGGGCCTTTGTAGAAATGCCCCTGGTACTGTATGTGTCACCGATACTTATACCGGCTCCCCGTATGGTTCGGGGACCAGTCTCGTACCAATTTTCTGTTGTTGTACTCGTCCTCAGTGTGACTTGCTGTTTCGGCATTCGGAATCCAAGACTTAGACTTGCCTTGGCACTGTCTGCGTTCGACCCTCAGTCGTGTCAAGTGAGTGAGTGTGTGTGTGTGCTCTCACTCTCTCCCTCTCTCTCTCCTCTCCCTCGACTCTCCCTCAACCTCACACCCGTCACACTGGTATCGCAGCGGTTCGAACCCGCCCGTCCCACCCTGCTTCGTCGCCATCACCTGGCCATCATCAGCATCATCGTTGTGATCGTTGTCGTCGTGCCACATCATCGTCGTGATCGTCGCCGTCATGCCACATCATCACCGTCATCGTCGCGATCGTCGTCGTCATGCCACGTCATCATCGTCACCATCACGATCGTCGTCGTCGTGCCACGTCACCATCACGGTGCCCGTTGTCCTCGTTGCCACGCCGTGCCATACTCGTCATCGTCGTTGCTACCCCGCGCAGATAAGTAACCATCGACAATTTTTTTTATTTTTTTTTCTATTCTTTTCTTCTTCTTCAATTCTTCTTCTTCTTCTTCTTTCGTTTTCATCTTGGTCTCCTTCTTTTCATGATCCTCTTCTTCCTCCTCTTTTTTTTTTTTTTTTTTTT